CTTGCAGGGCCAGGTCCCCCCATGGGGGCTCCAGGCAGTTCCCTTCAGGGACTGTCCACTGCCTTGTGATGCCTTAGAGAGGGCCCGCCAGTGTGGAAAGGTGAGCTTGCAGGGCCAGGTCCCCCCATGGGGGCTCCAGGCAGTTCCCTTCAGGGACTGTCCACTGCCTTGTGATGCCTTAGAGAGGGCCCGCCAGTGTGGAAAGCCCTCTGTAATTGCCAGTGGCTCATCCCCTGAGAGAGGTGCTAAGCTGTCCCTGGCTGGTGCTAGCCTTGTAGGCTGTTTGCCCTCCTGTGATGCTACAAGGCTTGGGTAGGACTTTCCACCTTGTAGGTTCCGCAGTATTTCTGTGAAAATAGACAGGTGGGGTGTGTGAGGAAGGCTTGCTCCTGGAGACAAAAATCAGCAGATACTAGTTGGTCCTCCCTGAAACTAAGGTTGGCTTGTTTTTAATAGCCACCGTCTCAGATCCTCCTGTTGAAACCTAGGGGAGACAGGAGTGATTGCCTTCCTGACTTGCCTGGATTAGCTGTGAGAGAAGAGGGCTACTCAGGAAGCTACTGTGACTGCCTCTTTAAGCTCTGATGTTGAGATCTTAGTTTGCAGAGCATAACAAGGGCAGCAGAACATAGGCTACCTGGTCTTCAGTCGTTCTGCTGTCAAGTACAATAACAATACACTACCTTGTGGACAGAAACTTCTACTCAGCAGAACTAAATGGTAAAATGTGATTGAGGCCAACAGCTGTCAACTTCATATTGTTAACCTTCAGTAACAGTTCCTTCTAAGCATTACATTGTAAATTGCAATTTTTTTCTAAGATGATCTCTAACAGCAGAGGTTAGGAGGTTCTCTTCATTTGGGGCAGGATAAAATATCAGATTTTGTTTGGAAATTTTAAATTAGCTGTTTAACTGTAACTGCTACTGAACTAGAAAACATTCTAACTAACCAGGAGCAGCATGGACTACCACTATCTGTTAAGCACCACGTGTTGAAATTGTACAGTGCATAAATGAGCATCTTGGAAAAGTAGACAAACACTGTCAAATGGGAAAAACTTTGCACTCCTTGAAGTTGACTTCAGCCAGTGTTTTGACAGTTTTACGGAAGAACTCCAACTCATCTGATGAAGTGGGTTTTACCCACGAAAGCTCGTGCTCTTATATATTTGTTAGTCTCTAAAGTGTCACAATACTGCTCGTTATTTTTAAAGTTACAAACTAATATGACTACTCCTGAGACTTTGTAACATAAGTGTATTTTACTGTTCTTAATATTTAACAGCATTCAGAATATTGATTAATCTAGAGCAGAAGATACACTCTCATGAATAAAAACTTTAAAAACAACAAATAATCTAGTAGCACCTTAAAGACTAACAAAACATGTAGATGGTGGTTGTGGGCGCAACCCACTTCTTCAGATGACTGGAGTATTAGAAGTGAAGCAGAGATTTCCAGGATTTTTATTTATGAGAAGTAATGATGCCTGTGAAACTCATTTTTGTCTAATAAAACCCTTAGGTTGCTCTTGAGTTCTTCAAACCCTTCATCTTTGGTATTAACTGCTTGAGCACATCTTAAGCTTCAGTATCAAAAAGTACAACGGATCGTAGAGTTAGACCTCCTTGATCCAGCCCATACAGGTTTACATCAGTCCTGGCCTGCTGCTGCAGGTGGCTTGACTTTGAAGTGAGTTAATTAAATTGATGTTTTTTAGACGGACTGCTTTATGCAGGTCAGCAAGGCAGAGTGGAATGAGTGGGGGCTCTTGTCACTAAAAGTGAAAGGTAACACTGTGTAATTGTTCTTGTTCTATTGTCTCATCAGACATGGAAAAACTTAAAAAACAACAAATAGGCTTGCAGCACCTTAGAGACTAACAAAACAGGAGGATGATATCAACATGTTTTGTTAGTCTCTAAGGTGGTGTTTACATTTTTCCCGTTACAGACTAACTCGGCTACCCTTCTGAAGCCTTTAACCATCAGACATGGTTTGTTTGCAGTTTGACACAAACATTTTTCATTACTTTTTTTGCTCTTAGTAAATTAGGTAGTTTGGGCTCTTTGTTTTATCTTAAAATGTAGCTGAGGGAAAAATCTTATTAACTGGAAATGTTTTCCCTTGCAACTGCATATTTGGACTGAAAAATGATATATTTGTGGATTCCAGGTGTTGGTTTTTAAACAGAACTTCAAGGGGAAAACCCTGATATTATGTACTATATTGACTATAATAGGAATAAATTGGGATGTATTTTTTATTTTCTCTGAATTCCCCAGTGCATCCTGTCACCAGTCTCTTTATTGGAACTGCTTTTTTTAGAAGGTTTCTTGTGTCTTGTAATGGACATTGTATTTTGTGATGTAAGCAAAAATGGCAAATTAAAGGAGAAAGTTATTTTGTATTTGTGGTAATGCACAAACCAAGAAAATGTAAAAGCATCGTGCAGTTATAGTATTTAATGGCCTTTTTGTGGCATTAATTCTAAAACAAGGGAATCGGTACCAGTTTCAGTGTTCATGCTAATTTGTATTGAAGTGAAACTGAGTAAAGGAGATGCTTTTAACCAAAAATATAAAGCTAAGGAATCCTGCCATATGGAATAATATGGACTGTCACTTTTAAAAGATGAGCTTACAGGGAAATAAATTCCTTTTCTACAATTCTTTTTCATTTCCTACAGTATCACTGGCGTGATCTGAATAATAGTACTGAGGTGATATTATTAATGTGGCTTTTTAAAATCAAACTAATTATATTTGCCTGAAAGAGCCACATTAGTGTGATTCTAGCTCCCTGGTGCCTTTTTGGAGCCCTGGAGACAGCCTAGTGAATAGGGCTGAAAATTCATTCTGTATTTGATTAAATGGAACAGACTCGTTGCTCCTTACCCCAGCAGGGGCTATGAGATCTCTTGATCCTCGAAGCGGCTCAGAGACCCTGGGAATTCCATTAGCGAGCACCTGAGGAATTTCTGCCCTGCAGTGCCTTTTTTTGGTGGTAGTGGGGGGAGAGAGAGAGTAGTATAGCAGTGTTGATGGTGGGCGGAGGAGGCTGCATTAGAAAAATTTATATGTTGGCAGATCTAAAATCAAGGCATGACTTAACAGCTTATCTTGTTAGAGAAAAGCCCAACCCAAAGGCACACTATTAGCCAAGACAACTTGTATTTAAAGTAGAATTGTGGTGTGCATTGGGCACTGAGATGAACTCATCCACACAATTTATTGAAATCGTCTGACTTGTTAGTTCTCAAACTGTAGATACATTGGTGGAAAACAATAGAAAAACACATACTTACAACGCTGGTGAGTTTCTAAAAACAATTTACAGTATGTCAGCTGTTTTGCCTTAACTCTAATTGTTTAACTATTTGGGATTTTATTGCAGTCTTCCAGAGAAAGCAAATATGTATGATTTGTTTAACTTGTCATCACAGAACTCAATTAAAACAATTATTGATTTTGATATTTTTATCCCAGGCATTGTAGATATGAAGTTGTAATGCTAGAAGGACCTGAATTTACTTTTCATGTCCTCTTTATTGTTTTAAAACTATAAAATTGATACCTCAATATTATTTGTGCATAACATGGTGGTTTCTCTGAAGTTAGTATGCTTGCATCCCACTTTAAAGCAAAAAAGTGCAATTCTTAAAGTGCCAAAGGACAGTTCATTAAAAAGTCCTGACATTTCAAATAATTTGTATTTTTTATTTTTAAGATTTTTTTAAAGCAAATATTTGTATTCACATAAACTCTTAGCAACTGGTCCTGAATTTGAAATTAATGCTGGCTAATTAGTTATCTTAGTTTTTTTTTTTTCTCTTGAGTGAGATTATATGGCTGGTGACTTAATGGAAGAACTTTCAGCCAATCTTGAGCTAATATAGGAGCCTAAGATTAGCTCCTATATTATAATATAAGATTAGTTCCTATAATATAGGATGCTGGAGTATATTTGAGAATTTAGTTGTCATTTTGATTACAAGTAGAAATGTGAATTTAAGTGCAAATTTAGAGTGCTTTCTGTAATTAAATTTGTAATTAAATTTGTATAGTTACTAAAGACATTTGTAAAGTGATGATTTTTAGCTTAACAAAAACTAACATAAAATGTTTTCCTCATATTCTGTCACATTGGCATAACCTGAAAGGAAGTTAATAAATCTGACCAGGAGTAGGACACTTTGTATTTCAGTTACCTACTTGAATTGTTTATGTACATGTTGCTCTGGGCAAGCAATAATATAGCTACTTTATTACATTTTACATAATTAAGTTGCTAGAAACCAATTGTACAAGTGTAGCATTGAATTCATAGTCACAAGCAAGATGTCTAATTTTGTAAATGCACATATATATATATAAATAAAAGTTAAAAATTACAAAACTCATTATTAAATGTAAAGGTTTTATTCACTTTATAGCTATCTGTAATTATGGTTACCCGGTTCCTAGATGCACTTTTTCACATTTAGTGAAAGAAGTTTACTGACAGAACTTTATTGACAGAAGTTTTCATTTCATGATCTTGAACAAAATATAGGTCATTCTGTGACATCTATGTCTCTAAAATAAAGTTGCGTTTTGGAGAGCTTAGATGACAATTTGACAAAGTAATTTTGTGTGGAGTAAATTGAGCAACAGAGTCGTGCCATGCTGTCTAATAAAAAAAAAAGAGAAGTCTTTAGGAAGATGGCATGCTTTAATATTATACATCTTCATTGCTGGTGGTAACAATCCTTTCCTTAACATTGCTGTAGTAGTCTAAATGTGTTCAGATTTTATATATCATCATTCGAATATTTCATGGCATGAATTTGTTACGGGTTGCTAAAATTAATAGTACATACCAACTGTAAAAAACGTAGATATTATGTTGTACAGAGCTAAAATGTGCTATGATTTGATTGCAGATATACTCTTCAGTAATTTAATTACTTAAAATGTAGTTAGTAGGGTTTTAGTTATAAGAATTAGTTGTAGTTACCACCTGAATTTGCCTCACCCACAAACATCACTAAAAGTCTGCTTTTCCACATTAGAGAGCCTGTCACTTGGTTGAGTCACAGCATTTCAGTAGCCCCCCCTCCCCCATATGAAGTGACAGAACAAACAGAAGTTTTTGTCAATGTTAATATTTAAAATTGCTTAATAACTTAAAGCTAGAGTTGGAAGTGGAAATACCAAGACAGACTTGTTAGCTTAAATGGCAGAGGAATAAAAATAAGAAATAAAGTAAAATTAATGGGATTCCAAAAGAAAGTAAGGAACAGTAAATCTTGTGAGGATAAAATGTTGTTTTCAATACATGGATTACCATATGAATTGAGTTTTTATAAGCACATATTTACTCCTTGTTTACAACTAAATGTGCCTTCATTAGAAACAAAATACACATTGTGCATTGTCCCTGAACCTGATACATCATATTGAAATGCTCATGCTGAAGTTTCCCAAGTTAGCGGGTGGGAAGGGAAAACAGCAGACCTTACAGATGCTGAAAAGCAACTGTTAGTTTGCAGTTGTTATATTTGTTTGAAGTTCCCATGAAATGTGGGGGAAGACTTGTTTTTTGTCTTTTTCTTTCTCATTTTGCAGATACTGGGGGGTTTGCCTTTTCTCCTTTTGTGTTTCTTGTAGATGCTAAGATGCTTCTATTTTGTTCTCTACTTTGTGTTCCAGCATTAGTGATGCTTATCATGCAGTTCTTGGAACAGTGCTAGTTACTTTGTACTCCCTCTGCTGGCCAGCTGTCAGTCTCCACACAGCACAGAATGAAATCAGACATAGGACACTATAGAAGCAGTTGCTGTTGGTTTATATTTCTTTATACATTTTTCTCTAGGTTTGGATATTTTAAAAAGAAAAACCCTTGATTTTTCTGGAATGAAAATATGATTCTAAAGTCCTCATGCTGGGCCTAAACTGTTTGACATTATCTCAAGGTTTGTCTAAAATCCACAAAATCAGTTTAACACCCCCTACTTCGATTCATCTTGATCCATACATGTGATTCAAGAAGACATACATGTGATACTAGGAATGTAAGCATCTAGTTGACTACCTGATAAGCATAGGCCAGAGGTCAGCAACCTTTCAGAAGTGGCATGCTGAGATTTAATTTATTCACTTCCATTTACGTGTCAGTGTGCTGTGCTGGTGATACTTTTTAAAGTCAATAATAGTCCTACATACAGCAGCCTCATTAATAAATAAATAAAGATGAAGCTCTCATCATTTAGTGTGATCCTCGGCTTTGCTATGCCCTTCTAAGTTCTCAGATCTCGGGCTCGTAGTTTGATACTTTAAGCAGCACACAAGCCTCCGAGTCAGAGTTCGGCAACCTACAGTATGCCAGAATGGCCGCCCAAATAGTTACTCCCCAGTGTGGCTGCAGGCCCGTCTCCATCTCTAACCCACCTGCCCACAGCTCCAATCCCCACTGGCAGCAACCCGCTTGCCTGCAGCTTCAATTCCCTGGCAGCAGCCCGCCCGCCCGCAACCTCAACATGCTGTGGCAGCAACCTTCCTGCCAGCCACATGTTCTAGGCCCGAAACACAAGCAGCAGCTACTCCACAGTGTGGCCTCAGCGGCAGCTGGTCCCCAACATGGCTTTGTCCACCCGAGCAGCCATCCCGCAGTTGCTTCATTCCCTGCTTGCACCATTTCCTCGCTGTGCCTATGCCTCCCCCATGGAGACAATGCTGGAGGGAACTGGCTTTTAAGCTGGCTACCCCCAGACCAGGCTCCTGTACTCCTCCCTCGCCCCCCCCCCCCATCCTTCTTGGTGCCACTTTCTGATAGAGGCAGTGGGAGTGAAGGAAATGACTAGTTGCATCACTACTTGACTACCCGATAAGCATATGCTTATCAGGTAGTTGACTAGTTGCTTACATCCCTATCCCACACTGAATTCCTTGGCCCCAGCCCTGCCACACTAATTTTATGTGCACCAATGTTAAGGTACATCTTGTACATCTTCTCCATATTGGTGCACATAACAAAATTCGTTCTTCTCAGGGTGGGAAAAATCAGAGGGAACACTGGTATTCAATGTTATTTTTATCACAAATATTTGCACTGTTAAAAAGATGAACAAAAAAAATAAAGGTTGAACTTTTCTAGTCCTGCACCCTCAGGGCCTGGCCAGTTCCAAACAAGAGAATTTTCTGAATCATAGAAGGTCAATATTGTCTAGCAGCATTACTAACACTTCCACTCCTCATTGGGCTGTTAGAGGATACTTAGGGGTAAGTTAGAGCTAAATAACAGCCAGAACACTGAGCACTACAACTGGTGGCTGTAAACAAACTTTATGGGACCACAGAAAACTTGGCCACACCCATGAAAAATGGGCATTCAACTAACTACAATCAGTCTAGAAGACCAATGTCTCTGGACCAGAGAGTTCAGGACTGGAGAGGTTCAACCTGTAGTATTTTTCAGTTCACCTTCTACAAGTATATGAACATAAAAACAGCCATACTGGGTCAGACCAAAGGTCCATCTAGCCCAGTATCCTGTCTTGTGGCCAATGCCACATGCCCCTAGAAAATGAACAGAACAGCTAATTATCAAGTGACCCTCTCCTCTCCTCCCCTCCCCCCGTTCCTGCCCATTCCCAGCTTCTAACAAATAGAGGCTAGGAACACCATTCCTACCCATTGATGAACCTATCTTCCATGGATTTATCTAGCGCTTTTGTGAATTCTGTTAGTCTTAGACTTCACAATATCGTCTGGCAGTGAGTTTCACAGGTTGACAGTATGTCATGTGACGAAATACTTCCCTTTGTTTTAAACCTGCTACCTATTAATTTCATTTGGTGACCCCCTAATCTTTGTGTATGGGAAGCAGTAAATAACTCTTCTTTCTTCATTTTTTCCACACTAATCATCATTTTATAGACCTCTATCATTTCATCCACTCCTTAGTGGTCACTTTTCCAAGCTGAAAAGTCTGTCTTGTTAATCTCACTTTATATAGCAGCTGTACCATCCCATTTTTATTGCCCTTTTCTGAACCTTGCCCAATACCAAGATATCTTTTTGAGATGAGGTGTCTGCATCTTGAATACTGCATGCAGATATGGGGTGTACCATGGATTTATAGAGGCAATAAAATATTGTCTGTCTTATTCTCTATCCCTTAACGATTCTTAACCTTATGTTTACTTTAACTGCTGCTGCACCTTGGAGAACTATCCACAATTGCACCAAGATCACTCTTGAGCGGTAACAGCTAATTTAGTCCCTCTTGTTTTATACTTATGTTAGGATTATGTTTTCCAATATTCACTACT